TATTTGTAAATAGTGAAAGTTATGAATGATTTAGAAGACCTCTTTTTTTGCCCTGTCACGTTTTACCGTTTACGGAAAAAGTAAAGAGAATCTCCTCAACTTTTAGCCCAGGCCTTTTTAAACAGAGACTTTCAAACATGGCCGAAAAACTGCAAAAGCGCCCTGTTTTGCCCTTTTCGGAGATTTTTTTTTTTTTTCGTTTCAACCTTGTATTTTATCGATAAATAATTAGGAGAAAGTAGTCCCTGCTTGCTGCTACTACTATCCAATCCCTCGAAAGCTGCTAATTAAATAGATGAAGAGAAAGAAGCAGCTATGGAAGAGGGTAGAGAAAATACTTGTCCCTTACAGCAGCCACAGCCATGGTGGATGAGAATAATAATCTGTATTTAGAGAGGATCTTCTTTCTTTGCTGTGTTCGTCTAGTCCTCCTTCTTCCTCTTCTTGGCTTATGCTTTAACAAACTTTCTCTTACCTTTTGTTTTCAAGCTACTAATTAATACAAAAAGCTATGATGTATATTTATTATTACTAATTAAAACGAGATTTTTTTTTGTTTGTTTGTTTGTTTTAGAATTGTACAAAAAAATTAAAATAAATTCATAAAAAAAAACGACCCTCCATAAAGAAAACATGTAGCTTCTGAGTAAGGAGGGTAATAATAGTCATGTTTCAATTCGACTCATTGTTAAATGGATTTTCTTTTTTAGTTGTGATCATCACACCAGCTCAAGTGAATTGTTTATCGTTGTAATCTTCTATAAAATGATGTTAACTTGTTACTATCTCTTTCCACGTGATTGTGATGAGTCAACAACGTATAATCTTGCTATTCTTTGCTTTCTTCCTTATTTCTTTTTCTCCACCAGAAAAAAAAAAAAAAAAAAATGACAGTTGAAAGCAGAGATCGTTGAAATGGGAACATTTTTAGTTGTAAAGCTGGAAGTGGGAATTTTGTTCTTGTTGTCGTCTTCACTTTTGTTTAGGAAGTGAAAATAATTACAAGTAGTTTTCTATTTTAAAAAAATCCATTTCGAAAAAAAAAACAAAAAAAACGAAGCATTTATTAACAAAAATAACTCATTTTGAAAATTGTCCGTTATCATCACCCATCATCCGATTGATTTCGTTATTAATTTTAACACCAAAATTAAAAAGCAACTCGAGAATGGAAAGCATAAAATATGCCTTCTATTCTCGATCTGCTTTTGACATACGTGGGTACGATCATCTTTGTTTTTTGTTGTTTTTTTTGTTTGTTTGTTTTTAAACTTACTATTTCTGAGATCAAATATCATTTTATTATGGGATTTTTTATGTCTTGTCCCTTCAGAATGTAAGCGATAATGATTTTCCCAATTATTTTTCTTATCAGTAAATATTGCTATGATTCTTATGAAAGACAATGGGATAGTTTCCCAATTGCCTTCTCAACGGTTTTAAATTCGAAGTTGTCTTTCTAGACTGGTTACCAATCAAGGCTAGATAACTCGGTCTGCCTTGCTATTTGACATATAGCTGGGTGAGAAGAGATGGATTCATGCATTCCCTAGGGTATTTAATTAAAAAAAGAACATAAACTAGAATTTGAACTCAACCCTTTGTATACCAATAACTGTTAACCATTATGCTATCTGCACGTCCACTAAATAGAGGAGGTACTGCAGCAGGGTTGGGAACTCAAGAAATAGGCTTCCATCAATGATGCATCGATATGTAGTGTACATTTTATACCCCTATCCCGCAACAACATGCTTAACAGAAATCAATGTTTGAATTATATTTGAGAAACTATCCCAAAGATCAGCAACTCTGTCTCCCTTACAATTAGCCAATCAGATTTCACCTTTTTTTGTTGATGTTTCTCTCCAAAATTCAAACCAACATTGAGGCAAATTAAAAATATATATAATTTTATGTTCTGTTAACAATACTTTTATATGACTTCTAAACATCAGGATATGATTTTTGTAATCCGGCAAATGTTTTTATTAGCCTTGGTTTTAATGGAAAAGTTGCCAGAAGCATATTAATCTATTTAAAATGCATTATCATTTAGTCATTAAAATTCCTGACAATTTAAAGAGGTGACTATTACGTCAAGCAATTTACGGTCTGTTTAGTTTGGAAAGGCAAATATTTTCTTATAACTTTACTAAGTTCCTTATCTGTGAATTGCCATGGCTACTTAGAAAAGATAGTGGAGTGGTTTTCTGTTCCTTTCTCCATAGTTTTGGTTTTCTAAGTATTTCTTCTAGACTTAGCTATCACCAAGTCTAGAGAACCTAATTTTCCCTGCTATTTAAACCTTATCTGGTGTAAGGGAGAAGAGGTGAGTTCATGCCTTTCTCAAGAACATGTAAAGTGAATAATAATTAACTAGGCCAGAATTTGAACTCAATTATCCAATTCCACTTTCCATGTTGATAACCCTTATTCCTACACATCCAGAATAATAGTACAGATCCTTAAAAACAAAGGCAAGGAATGTAGAATTCAAGGAACTTTGAATAAGAAACTTTCTGGAATATTATTTGTTCTGGAACATAATATATCTTATCTTATATTTTCTTTTCTTTTTTTCTTATTGGTGTTAATGCAGAAACACCACTCTTAAAGAAAGTCATTACCCCCACCCTTAATTTTTTTTTAATTTAATAGGGGTTCCATTTTGGTATGTAAATTCATTGTAAATTGATTCCCTTTAAAGCCCCCCCATGCTCATGCCACATAAATTGTATTCTTACTTACCTTAATTTCAAGTTAAGATAAAAAAAAAAATTAAATTACATTACTTAAAGCATCTTTTTATTTACCAACAGCTCCCCAATTCAGCAGGGATGAACAATAACTGATATCACAGGGACAAAATATCAAAATAATCAACAGATATCCCATATCAGCCAATCAATGGAAACCTGATGATAAGAGAGTATTTGGTCGAAATGTTGTCTATAATAACATTTATATCAATCTATATTGAAAACAATAGTTTGGAATAATGCAAGAATGTTGACAATTACTAATCTCGGAAATGAAATGCTAAAAAAAAATTAATATTTATATTATTTAAAACCTATTCTTACTTACTTTTCTTTGTGTTAATTTCAAAACACCTGCAAAATATGAATTTAAAGAATATGCTTATTTGCCTTTTTCCCATTTTTATTTTTTTTTATTTTACTTACCTTTTTTTTTTTTTTTTTTCAGTTTGTACAAAAAGATCAATTTAGAATGAATTTATATAGCAAACTGAACACCACTCTTAGAAAATAATAAAAAAAAAAATTTTGATGACTATTTTTTCAATAGTAAATTTTGAACGAAACCCTTTTATTCCATAGGGGTAAATTGTTCTAATTCCATACAACATGACTTTTTTGGATATCACGATATCAGTTAATTTCCTTTAGTAACTCAACTGTCCAAGTTTTTTTTTTTCCCTCTGCTGTGGCCAGGTATTGAACTCGCAACTCTGAGTCAAGTTTTGACCAAGTAGATAAGTGTTGGTTGAGTGATCCAAAAAGTGACTTCACCCAAAGAGTTGAGTTAATACTTGGTCACAACATCAACGCAAAAAACAACAAAAACAAAACAAACTTGGAGAGTTGAGTTACTAGGGGAAATTAACTGAAACTAAGATATTCAAAAAAGGCATGGTGTATGGAATTAAAACAATCTACCCCCATGGACTAAATAAAGGGCTTGGTTCAAAATTCCAGCGTATATCACCTGAAGAAGGCAGGAGTGTACAACAACCAAAATGTGAATATGGCTATAAAGTTGAGGACAACAGTTCAAATGATATAAATAGTTACAAAACCTTCTGAGAAGTATAGACAGATGTCATATTATGTTAATTATGTTTGGTTGAGATTAGCTATCATAGATTAATGAATTCAAAAGCTACAGTAATCAAAACATTGTATTTGTGTGTAGGAATATGTTATAGAAGTGGATAATTCTTAGATAATCTTTCCAGCCTTCTGATATTTTGTCAGAAACCATTCCACATCAAACATTTGCTATGGTTCTCTAGTTATTTTTAATTGTACTAACAGTTTTAGTTTATTTTTTTTATTTTTCGCCCTTGCTTTACTCATTATGGATAATGAGTATAAAAATCAACAAAGAACAAAGTTAATTCATTAAAAGCATGACCCAAAGCAGTAAAATGTGTGGGATCTGTTGTTTATTGGAAAATAGTCACTGAGAAATTGTCATTGAGAAATGGCTGCAGTGATTGGGATTCCATCTCAAATTTAACAAATGGTGACATGATTACATTTATTTATTTACATGTCAGGGTTTCAAAATTACTCATTTCAGTAAACAAATTTCTTGAAACTATTCCTCTTACTCCCCCCTTCTTTTTTCTTTTTTTTTTTTTTTTTTTTTTTTTTTTTTTTTTTTTTTTTTTTTTTTTTTTTGAGAGAGAGAGAAAATATATTGGCTTAAAACAGCTTCTCACATAACCTCTAAAATTTTTTTTAACTGTTTTCAGTTCTTAAATGGCCATCCAAAAATATTTATTTTAATCATGCATTTATTAATAATAATACTCTTTTCTTCATTTCTGCAATATATTTATAAATACTTGGCTCTTTAGAAAAGATGTGGTTCAGTGAAAAACAACACAACTATGATATGGAGTTTTTTTTGTTTTTTGTTTTTTTTTTGTTTTTTTCTACAACTGATAAGGTCAGAAGAAAACACTGTTTTTCTGAAAGATTAAGGGAAATGCAAATTTTTATTCTTATTTTCCAAATGTTAACTTTTTTTATACTACCTATTCTATTTGATGTGTGCTAATTTTAACCAAACATCTCGTATTTCTGCAATGACTTTTGGATTTATAGAGATTTAAACAAAACATTTTCTTCCTATTTTAGTCTGTTGTGATACATGGCACTGGAAATATGTTTTCAGTTTGGTAAGAATTGTCTGTATCTACTTAAATATTGATACCTTTTGTTTCTTTTGAACTGTTAATAATTGCTATGTTTTCATTATTTTATTTTCTAGGTATTCAAACCACATTTCTGAAGGAACCTGAACCGCATGTGGCTTATGTTGGTGGAGTTGCCAGTTTTCAATGTGACATCAAAGCTGTTCCTCCAGCTGTATATGTTTGGGAAAAGGACAAAGTACAACTGCCTCAAAATGTTGTCAGGTATTTATAATTTTTCCATTTCATTGGCCTATTTGACTTAATCTATATGCAGTCTGTCGTTTTTGTCTCCTTGTAATAATTTGGTTATTAGCAGAGTTCAAATTCCAGTTTAGTCCATTCTATTCACTTTCACACTCATATATCATATATCCAGCTCTTTTTCCAATGGTTATGGGCTAAAGAGTAGGATAAACTGGGATTTCTAGATGACAGTCAATTTAGGAAAACGACAACTCTGAATTCAAAACCCTGGAGAAGGCAACAGGAAACTACTCCACTATTGTTTCCAAGAGGTTGTTGCAATTCACAGATAGTAAAGAAAAAGGAATCTGGCAAGCCATGATTATCTTACATCCTGAAGGGATATGCCATTAAAAAAATTGTTTGGGTTTTAATATTATAGAAATGTCCCATGTGTGTGCATGTTTTCTGTTTTGTTTTACCCTTTCTTAAAGAAGTTTGTTTTTTTTTGTTTTTTTTAAGGAAAAAATTTTTTCTGTAAAGTACAGTCTCTGAAGATTCAGATATTTTTTTTGGGGGGAAAATGAGGTTTACTTATTGTTTTTATTTTGTCTCTATTTTTATTTCTTTGTTTTTAGCTTTTGCTCTTTCACTTTTTCTTTTGTCCTCTTCATGAATTTCTTTCTTCTCTGTATTATAATGCAATACAGATCCTCCTTAAAGAAAGACACCAGCCAGCATATCTTTGCTAACATAAGTTCTATTTGTTCTCTCTTGCATGATATTACTCTCTTGAGAATGAAAAACACTAGATGAATGATTCTGCTTAAAACTGTTTCCTTTTCAGTTAATATTACAGTGTAGAATATTGGAAATCATTTCCACTTTCATCATCACTGGCCGCACTTTAGTTTAATCCATACAAATCAAACCCACTTTGATGTCTTTTCTTTGAAAAGAAAAGAAAAAAAATCTGATCACTCAAGATTACATATTATCAGATGCTGATTCAGGTTTGGCAGTCACATTTTTGCTGTTTTAGACATTTAAATGTTGCTACCTGGCTAGCATGCTGTTATGCTGGATCTAGTACCATCTCTGGTTGTCCAGTCTGCCTTGCTATTTAATCCATAACTGGGAGAGGAGAGTTGTATTTATACCTTTTCATCAGAGCATTTGTGCAAAAGTGACTGCAATGATCCCCACTGGAATTTTAATGACATACCAGTATCACTTTTCACATGCTAATTGCTATACTACATGCATATCTCTCTCTCTCTCATATATATATATATATATATATATATATATATATATATATATATCTCAGCAAACCAAAGTATTGGTAAAAGTTGTGCATACAACTCCACCCACATAAAGCCTGTCAAACCCAAACACTTGAAATTACAAAAGAAAATTTAAAAAAAAAGGCCAATAAACTAAGAAACCTACAATATATATATATATATATATATTCTGTCACTAACATATATTTTTTATTCCTAATCAATACCAATCAATATCTTTCTGATTTCTTGTGTGTATCATGAATTTTATGACAGAAATTGCAAAATTCCATGTTTAATTATCAAATCAAGTTCTCTTCTGGCAAAAATGTTTAGTTGTTTTGAACCTTTTTTTTTTTTTTTTTTTTTTTTTAATGACTAAAACTAAGCAAAGAAGTAATGACCAAGTCAGTGGGCAGTGATAAGAAAAGTCAAATCTTTACCTTTATATGCTGGGTTCAAATGTGGTCACTAATACAATCCAAACATACATATTGTTTAAATCTTTTCCTTTACTGTGTCTCTATATATACAAGGTGTGGCAGAAATATCTCCCACATTATGGTAAGGCATTAGCAACAAAGGTATCTTCATCTAGCTAATGTCTTACCATTATGTGGGAGGTATTTCTGTTGTATCCTGTATAATCATGAAAGTTTTGACAAATTTGCTTAATATAACCCACCCATAATATAATGGGTTACATAAGCAACTTGTTTATGTCCTTGTTAAATTTGTGTATGAATACAAAGACTTTTGGAATTTTTATGGGTTTTTTTTTTTTACTTTCATCTTTCATACCTTCTCTTCTGTTTTTTTTTTTTTGTTTGTTTTTTTTTTTTTTTTTTTTTCTCTTTTATTGAAATTATTTTTATTCATCCACTTTCATCCCCTTTTTTTTTCATTTTTTTTTTTTTTTCAAACGTTTTATCACTGCTCACTGTTCAAAAATATTTTAATTAGAGAAAAATCATTAAAAATGATTCACTTGCACTTAGATGATTTGTATATTTCTTTTGTGCTGGTAAATGAAAGTAAAATAAGAATTCTTTAACTTTTTCAGAATAAAAAAGCATCAAATGATCTCAATTACAGAGCATCTTGGATTTCTAACCTGATTTCTATTGTTATAAATTGAAAATAATTTACGCTGTGATTTTCAGCTCCTCTTAAAATCTGAATTATTAAAAGGATTCTTAGTAAGTTTTTTAAATGACACTTTTAAAAATTCAATTTCTCTACTTTTTGGGTTTTATTTCCATCTATTCATACTTTTAATACGAGAGATAGATGGAATTAGATGGAATTATCATGTGAATTGAAGGGTTTTGGTCTTTTCACAATGAATTTCATGAGATTAATCATTTTATTTTTTTATCTACAGTTATAACATTTAACACAATTCTTTTAACTGCCAGTTATTTTATGGTTTTCATTACATTTAATGACAAATATGTTTATATATTTTGAAAATATTATTTAACTCACAAAATCTTTAAAAAAAAATACTTGTAATTATAACAATGTTATCAATAATTACCAATCTTTTTGACCTTACTAAATATTTAATCTTTTCAGATTATTGGCAGAATATGTAAAGACACATAAAACGTTGAAGAATTAAAATCTTTCAAAATATAATCATGTAAATGAACAAAGCTAACCTCATTTTTCATTAATAAATTTTAATAAATTTTCTTTATTGCAACAATAATAGTAACTGTCATTGTTTTTTTTTTCTTTTTTTTCCTAATTTTAAACTTATGAAAAAAAAGACTAATGTAGTATACAATTTAAAATAAATGCTATAAAATCTAATACCATTTTATTCATATCCTTTTTGGAAAGAAAAGGGAATTAAATTTAAAAAATACGTGGATTTATTCAGAAGACCTTCCTCAGAAAACAACTAAACAGATTTTTAAAAACAAGAAAAAAATTGATTGAAATAAGATATAAGTTGATATAATTGGAGCAGAATAGGTAAGGGGTTTTGTTTAGAACATTTAAATAATAGAATATCATCCAAAAATTGGCAGTAAATATAATTAAGAGCAATCAAAAACCTATTAAAAAAAACAAGCTTATTTGTCACTGGAATTTTAGATGACATACTGTATACATTTTATTGGAAATGCCACATTAAATGGTCTTCTCTTAAATATTCCAATGTTTAAACTATCAATAAAGATAAGCAAATTTGGTTAGTGGCTACTGTCATTATCATAAAAGCCTAGTGGTTGTGATGAATGTTTACATTTGTGTATTTCGTATGGCTTTTCTCTGACATTGTTTTATTTTATGTATCTTGCATATGTTTTGAAGGAGGTGATTACTTGCCTTGCAATAGGTGACATTTAAAAAGTAATTTTGTTGGTAAAACACTATATTACTAGTATTTCAGAATTCAACTTGTGCATGAATATAAAACAAAATGCTACTAACCAAAACTCATAGATGATCATCTCTAATATCAAGCTAGTAATAATTGTCAATCAGAATAAGAAATCCCTTTTTCTTTGTCAGTAAATCTCTGACATCTAAATGACATAATGCCATCATAGAAATAATGTCTAGAGCTTTATCTTGAATGTACAATATTAGAAATCTTATATATTTTAATCAGTTCCAATTACAAAAAAAAAAAAATTGACAAGAAACATGGACAAAATACTCATTGAGCAAAATTTCCTTGTTTGTAATTTAATTCCAACTGCTTACTAAATATATGATGATTTTTATTGCTTCATTAGTGATTGTGTGTGTGTGTGTGTGTGTTCATGAGAATGATCCTGTGAACACTTTGCATCATGGGATTCCCACACTTAATGGTGAAATCACTTACCATTTCTGGAACTTGCCCCCTACTTCTAATATGCTTTTGTGCCACATATCTTTTCATAGATATAAATTGTCCACATAAGTTTGATACACAGTTTCCTCTTAGGCAAGTATATCTTTGTTGATGACCTTTACAGCTTAGGGGAATGGGCAGGGTTGGGTGAACAGTGCTTCATGGTTGCTAGGTGCTTGTGAACTAAACATATTGAGGTCAGATTCTAGTGGTTTCTAGGGATAATTCATAAGACTGTGCATTAATTAGAAATTGGGAGTTGGGGAGGATGAACATTTTATGAAACTCTGTATACATCAGCTTTTGCAATTTCTGGCTACTAATTGGCATGCTGTATACAGAATGCCCAAAAATGAATGCTTAAAGAGAAAATTCAATAATATTTTTGATGGATTACTTTTGGAATCATATCATACTTACCCAGGTTGTGTGTGTGTGTCTGTATGTTTATATATTGGATCGGATTTCCTACATTTTTCAACCAATTTCAACAAAACTTCACAGGACTACATAAAATTACCTTGCGGTGGTTCTGACAGCGCCAAAAATTGGAAAAACACAATTGTTTTTGCATGAAATCAATTTGAAAACATGATTAAGAGGCATCGCGAAAATGAAAGAGGGACAACTCATATCGAGTTATACTTATTATAAAACCCAGGTTGTTTGTGTGTGTGTTCCTTTTATATATGGGATCGGATTTCCTACATTTTTCAACCGATTTCAACAAAACTTCACTTTTTTTTTCTTGGGGGGGGGGGGGCAGGTAGTGTTTCTTATTGTCTTGCAAACTTTTTTTTTTATTTTTACATTCAGAATGCTTTAAAAATTCCATTTACAAGACAATTGTTTATGATAAAATTCTATTCAATCGGTAGACTCATAACGATTGAAAACAA